AGGGAGGCCGGACGCGACTGGGAGATCTCTGGGTGGGGGGATGGCCTTTGGGGCTGCACTGAGGAATGGCGCGGGGGGGGGCCGCCGTCGCAGAGCGCCAGTGTCCACAGCGTGGCCGGGCCGGGCCCGAACGGGGAAGGAGCTGCCCCTGCGGAGGGCGAGGGCTGGGGCCATGGTGGGGAGGCTGCAGAACTTGGGGAGGGCGCCCGCCTGGGACCCGGGTTCCGAGGCACTGAGGCCTGGGCTAGGCTGGTGGAGCCACTGGGCCTCGAGGGGGCTGGGCCGGAGAGAGGAAGGGATCTAGCCAGGGTGTCCCCCCTTGGACCACCCATGGTGGTCCCTGGGGGAGTTTTCTAACGGGAGTAGGCGCATCCTGCTTGAAACTCTAGCTGTGTGTGACCTGCCTTGAGGAAGGCCACCTGGGGGGCTCCTGCCCACCCCTGTCCTCACCTCAGGCCAACCTGCCACCTGCTCAGGGTCACAGAGAAAACGGGACCAGAAGTTGCCGTGACCAGGGATTATGGAAACTAGCGAAAGCCTGGCTGGCAGAGCTGTGGTTCTACCAAGGAGCATGCCCGGGGTTATCTCTGGGTGGGGGTGGGGCACGGCCCAAGTGCTCAGGCAACCCCACCCACACCAAGCGAGTACCCAGTGTGTGTTTCTCGCTGTGTTATCTGTAAGAGTTCTGTCGGCCCCAGAGACACTGCCAGGAATGGATACAGTGGAGGTGACATGGGGAGGGCCGCTGGCCCACGCCTTAGAGCAGCGCCAGGAATCCTGGTGGAAAGATCGGCCACCGGCCAAGCCAGGTGGGACACGGCACATGCCTCACCTGGCTTGTGGTGGGAGCAGCAGGTGAGAAGGGCCCCCTGGACAGAGGATGCCCTTGTTGAGGCTAAGTGCTGGCCGGCGGCTCAGGCAGAAATGGCACCTTGGGCCCACAGGTTCTGGAGTGAAGTGGCCGGCTGTGTGGAGGGCACTAGTGGTCACCTGGCTAGCGGTAGGAGAGGTGAGGGCACAGAGAGCTCTGAGGACCTCATGCCTCAGTACTGCTGACAGGTGGCACGTGGACTGTCCTCGGGTCACTGATCGGCCTTGTTTAGGCCAGAGAGGCTGGAGAAACAAAGGAAATCCACAACAACGTAAGTCAAGAAAATGTTCCAGAACCGATGGCCACGAGTGGCCAGACTGAAGTCAGCGCTAAGTGAAGCGACCTGAGGCAACTCGCTGTGATGTTTCAGGACACAGAAAATAAGGAGGTAGAAAGGTCACCCATAGAGATGCAGCAGAGAGTGTTACAACTCTGAAGGAAAGGCTTTCTTGCCTAGAATTCTATATTTAGCTAAACCCTCAATCAAATGTGAGTAGTGAAGTCATTTCCAAACACGCAAGGTCTCAGCAAGTTTAGCTCCAGCTGTCGACTGAATGTTTTTGTGTCCCCCTAGAATTTGTGTGTTGAAATCCTAACCCCAAGGGAATGGTGTCAGGAGGTGGTGCCTTTGGCAGGTGCTGGGACCCTCATGAATGGGATCAGTGCCCCTATCAAAGAGGCCCCGGAGAGCACCCTCCCCCTTTCCATGACAGCATAGCGAGAGGACTGCTGAGTGTGAGCCGTCCCTAGTCTGCTGTCACCTTGATCGTGGACCTCCCAGCCTCCAGAGCTGTGAGCAACACATTCCTTTTCTGTTAAATTTAATTTTTTTTTATTATTTGTAGAGATGAGGTCTCACTGAGATGTCCAGGTTTGGAAGCAGAATGTGCAGGCAGCCCCCTTCCTTGACCGCGTCTCTCCTGCACGTCCCTGGTCCCCACCGTGGCCTGCTAGGAACCCAACTGTACCCCATGTCTCCCAAGACTCCTGTGACCTTGTCACAACTTCCTGAGGAGGGGCTCGTCAGCTCCCAGAGAAGCCCTCCTGGGGCCTCTGCTCCACGGGGCAGCTGCCCTGTCCTTGCACAGCGACTGTGTGTTTGCCCTCCAGTTTCAAACGATGTTTAGGAACAGACCCCAGGTGAACCACAGAACATCAAGGGCACAGCTGGCACAAACATCAGGATGCTTTCGCTCCTTGGGCATTAGGATTAGATGCACTTCCAGGGCTCCCCAGATAAACATGTCTGGCTGTCTGTAATCAGACTCCTGACCCCGTACGCTGTGTTGGCTGTGGCTGGGTCAGCAGGACAAAACCATCCTGGGCTCTTCCAGCAGGACTGAGTGCTGCTAGCTCATGGGGCCTGGAGCATGGAGTCGCGGGAGCTCCTGTGGTTCCCAGGTCTGGCCACCCTCGGGACGCTGGAGGAGCCATGGGAACCCGGTGAGCTGAGTTTGGGGGTTCTGGGGAGCACTCGAGGGCCACAGCAGCACCCCATCTGCTGAAGTCCTGTTTCCATCTGCCCCTGCCGGAGACAAATAGGTCGTGCGGTTCCTGCCTGGAGCAGCCTTCCACACGCCTCCCTGGAGCGCTCTCGCTGGCGGAGTCTCACCTGGAAATGCAGCTCCAGGCAGAAGAGGGAAGAGCTTGCTGTGTAGCCCGCAGTCATCAGGATGGGTTGAATGAGTTGCCAGCACTGCCCGCACCAGGCAGCTGTCGTGAAGGCTCTGTTCACGCTGTGCAAATTCAGCCCAAATTCAACCTCATAGACCTCAAAACCCCGGCCAGGCTTTCTCCCTTCGGCCTGATTACTAAACTCGATGAATATTAGAGGCTTATTGGGAAAAAACGCCCCAAAACAGAGTTGAAAGTTTCAACCCCAATGCTGCCTCCACGCTCTGGGCTGCTTCGCCAGTTCCGGGACCCTCAGCTGAGTGCTGCATCGCCCATGTCGTGTCCTAGGAAAGAGCCCTCCTTTGCATGCTAGAAGCAGCTGCTAGCCAATAGGGCTGCCACCAAGACACCACTGAGCCCCGGAGTCCCCAAATCCAAAGGGCACAAGAAGAGTGAAGTTAATGGAATCCAGACACACAAGACTGGAAAGGCTGTATGATTTTTATTGTCTTAAAATTGCATAGTACTTCGATTGTGCATGCTTTCAAACGGAGAGCTTCCAAACGGAGAGCCAGTTGCCTGCTGCAATCACTCTCTTGCGTGGGTACCTCAAGCCGTCTTACACGGGCAGGGAGTGAGGCCAAAATGCTGCCTGGGCTTAAGAAGAGCCGTGATCAGGTTACATGGAAGTCGGAGCGTGGGAGGGATCTGGGCACAGATGAGAAGACGTTGGATGAAGCTGGGATTTCCATCAGACTTGCTGGAGGCACCGGCACAGGTGGGGGCGGAGCGAGGAGGGGCTTCAGGGGTCCCGGGACGGGATTCCAGAGCCCCTCAGAGAGGACAGGAGAGGAGGAAGGAGTCCCGGGGGCCAGTGCTGTGCCCAGATGTGATGAGGCCGCCCAGGAGAGCCCAGGACACAGGGTGGCTGGGACACCGTTGAGAAGACCACGGCTGCAGAAAGCCACCTGCTAGAGAAATAACTTAGAGGCTATATAGTCGTCATCATAAATACTTTGTCTTTGAAAACTCGCTAGTGTTGGTTAAAGGGTCCACAGTGACCCCGGAGAGCTGCGTCTCTATTGCACAGTCGTGGCGAGGTCGCTCTGCTCCCACGTAAACCTCGGGCGACTTTGGCCCTGTAGCAGCAGCATCTGCTGGAAGCAAAAGCACTTGGGTGAAGGCACTGGAAGCAGTCGAGGCTGCGGCAATGCGCACAACGCAGGCGCCCGTGTCCTCCCATGCGGTGTCCCCGCCGGGGAGACAGGTCTGGACTTGGACTCGGTGTCTGCTCTCATTCCACGGTCACAGACTTGGCCAGGTTTCTAGGGAAGTCGACCTGGAAGGGAGAAGAACTGCGACTCAGGCTTCAGCCACGTGTTTCAGGCTGGTTACTGCCAGGGTGTGTGAACACAGGCCGGGCTCCTGGGCCTCCCGGCACAAGCGTGGGGCCTGCGTCTAAGAAGCGGCTCCTCGTGCCAGCAGCTCCGTGTCCCCGCACAATGTCTGGTTCGTTCAACAAACATTTATTGTGCCCCAATCTGTGTCATGCCATGCTAACGCTCTTTAGAGGATGTGATCAATGCTTTTAAGAACAGGCCCCTCGAGGTGCACTGTTAAAAATTCACCTTTCTTGGAAGGTCAGGCACGAATTTCGTGTGACTTGTTAGTTTAGGGTGAAGCAGGAGGAAATGTGACTGGGAATGGTTTCTAAAGTGGGCTGCCTTTTCATCGGCAATGTCCTATTACATCTATATGCTTCAAAAAGAGGAAACAGACATGACAAAATGTCAGCAAGTGTCAGTTCTGGACGACACGTACGCATGCAGGTGTGTGGTATGCTATCATTTGCACTGCTCGGTATTTTTCAAAAGTTTCTCACCATTGGGCAGTATGTGTTAGGGTCTCCAGGATGTGCAATCGTTTGCTGACTAAGGACAGAGCTTCAATGTGGGACACAGGTGCATGTACACAGCAGACAAAAAACTTGGAGCAGCTTGAGTAGCAGAAGACTGGCTAAGTCATTGTCCAAAAAGATCATGTTATAAGGTTGCAATAGGACATTAGTAAAGTTGCATATAACATGTTCGTTCATAGAGATGCGAGAAAAGACTTGCAATGTGATAATAAAAGGAACATGCAACATTTTATCCGATAATATTGAAAAATGTTTTTTAAAAAGCTACACGCACAGGAAAAACTGTACAATGTTAAATTTGCTAAGTAACATTGCCTCTGAGTGATGAGGTGATAGTCTAATGATAGATTTCCTCGATATGTTTTGCAGTTTCCAGCTTGTTTGGGGGAGGAGACATAAGCTACTTTAAAAAGAAAGTTACCTTATTATAATTTTTAAAATTTTGAGTTGGAGTCCTACTCTATTGCCCAGGCTGATTGTGCAGAGGCACAATCATGGCTCATGGCAGCCTCAACCTCCTGGGCTCAGGTGATCCCTCTGTCTCAGCCTCCCAAGTAGCTGGGACTACAGGTGTGTACCACCACACCTGCCTAATTTTTCTATTTTTTGTAGAGACAAGGTCTCACTCTGTCATCCACGCTGGAGTGCAGTGGCACGTTCACAGCCACCACAGTCATGACCTGCTGGACTCAGGTGATCCTTCCATCTCTGCCTTCCAAGTACCTGGAACTACAGGTGTATGCCACCATGTCTGGCTAATTTTTTGATTTATTGCAGAGACAAGGTCTTGCCAAGATGCCCAGGCTGGTCTTGAACTCCTGCGATCAGGCAGTTCTCTCACCTCCACCTCCCAAAAGTGCAGGAATTGCAGACATGAGCCACCATGCTCGGCCTTAGGCTGGTCTTGAACTCATGCGCTCAAGTGATCCTCCTGCCTCAGCCTCCCAAAGTTACTGGGATTACAGGCATGAGCCACTGCACCTGGCTGAAAGTTACTTTAAAGGAATGATTTGGTCGGGCTCGGTGGC